CAACTTCAAGAAATTCCAAGGGAATCAAGTGCAAACATTACAGGTTTAATATTTTATCAATAGGACACCATTGTATTCCATAGAGTAAGTTATAAAATGATGAACATTTAATTTACATTCACTTGAGCTATGTGCTCAAACTTTTTCAAAATAAGGAATGTGATATTTCTTTAGGATTTTTCAGTAGGAGAATGGAAATCTCTCCCTGAGATAAGAGATTTTTGTTTGGTTTTAATTTTTAAGGATCTTTTCTAAATCAGTGTTCACAAATCCCTGCCACCTGCTTTGGCAAGTCAGAGCCTGTTGACATAATCAGCAGAGAAAGGAATTTCAGGTAGGGACAGGATGGGGTCAGAGGGCACTGAAGGAAAAGGTAAAAAGTTGAAGAAAGTGAACTATGTTCTTCCTTCAATTTAACCAATAAAGAGCCTTAAGTCACATTGTCCTCCATATACAGGAAACAAATATTCTCACCAGACACCCTCTTTTCCAGTCTTCTGATTTCTCTGAGAGCTCAACAGTGTTCTGTGCAACAGTAACCTAAAGTTCAGTGATCTGAAAAAAAAAAAAAATTAAGCATTTTAAAAGTTAATTCACTAGTGCCTTTAAATATTCCTCATTTCTTTTCTTCTTTTTTTTTTAAAACCCAAACATCACTATTTGACTCTTGGTGATGCATATTTGATATTAAAAGAATGAGGTTTTGTGTAATGATCAAATACCTTTGTGTCTGTTATTTATAAAGAACTGGCTGTCTCCACATATTCCATGAGATGAACAGTTTTACTTCAGGATAATTTAGTACTGTATTGGACTCCTTTGCAAATGTTGGACTTCCCACTACTACTTCAATTTTTTTTTTTTTTTTATGGCAAATAGCTTATACCATCCTGTACCTCCTCAGCCACATATTCCATGAGATGAACAGTTTTACTTTAGGATAATTTAGTACTGTATTGGACTCCTTTGCAAATGTTAGACTTCCCACTACTACTTCAATTTTTTTTTTTTTTTTCTGGCAAATAGCTTATACCATCCTGTACCTCCTCAGCCTTCTGGCTAAACATTGAAGTCTAACAGGCTTTGATAAGCAGATGAGGCACCCAAGAGAGTTACCTTAATGTTTTAACAAAATTAAATAGACCTAAGTGAAAGTTTGATTTTTAATACACAGCATTTAGGATTATTAGTGCTCTTTCTAAATATTTGATTATGTTTTTATTGTTAAAATTTCAGAGTAAGTCATTTATAAATAATTGAAATTATTCTTATAAACAGGAAGGAGAAAAAATTGCATTTGGCTACATTTCCCTTGTGTATGCCTTCTTATTCCCCCATTTGCCCTTTTTTCTGCCTCAGTTCCCTCCTTCAGTGCATTATGCTTCACATGCTATGTGAGCTCATCATGTTGTGCATTGAACAGACAAGTAGATACTTGGCTTATACACATAATTATTTGCAAAACAGAAACAAGTGCAAAAATGTCATTAAAAGGAGGATGACCAGTGCTTAAACAATGAGTCTTCACTTGATTGTGACTAAAATTGCCTGTGTGACTTCAAACAAGATACTTGACTTCTCTGAGGTTCACTTTGTCTGCATCTAGAGTGAAAGACTGAATCATCTCTAAGGTTCCTTCCAGCACTAATATTCAAGGAATCCACTCTTTGAGATATAATCTTCCTTTTTATATGAAATCCTCCAAATCCATCAGAGAATAATTAAGATCACAGAATGATGCACATTCTAGTTTTATCAGTCACATCAGATAACTTTTGAGGCTCATCCCCCAGATCTTATCAGGCTGGATAGCTTTATGGATGGGAAACAGTATCAGCATGGGGCTGGCAGCACAGATTTCTTTTGCTGCACTAAACCACTGTGCTCACTGGGAAACCTACTCTTGTCAAAGCGAATATCAGCCTCCAACCTGCCAGAGCACATCCACAGAGAAGGTGAGCTGACACAGATTAGATGAGCACCAGAATAAAAACTTGCCAAGCCATAGACCTTTGGAAATGCAGAGGAAATTCCACTGACCTCTTTTTCTTCCATCTATAGAAATGTTGCCTTGCTCCATTGTGATTCTGTGTGTAACCTGGGGCCAGACAAAGAAATATAGCAATACCGCCAGGAAAGCTCCTTTCACCACATGTCCAACTTGATTAAAACTGAGGCTCAGGTCCAGGGCTCTCCCTCTGAGAGCCAGGCCTTCAGGGATCTCCAGACAAGGAAGGGCCAGCTGGGTTGCGGCAGAGGCACTCCCTGCAGCTCAGAGTGCTTGCTACCCCGGGTAAACCAGGAAAAGTGGGATTTTCTCCAAGCATAGAATTCAGACATCCTAAACCCATGCTTGCAAGATCTCCATACTTTATGCTCCATTTGAATGGAAACTTGTGGATAAGGATGGATGACATATAAATGATACTGAATATAACTCTCCCATTGGCCAATTGCATTTCTCCCACAAGTTACTGAACATGGTGTTTTGTTTGAAAAGTACTAATAACATTTTTTTTATGGACATTAGACTGGAAACAAATATAATGCCTGACACACTCTGGGTACAGTGTTCAGGATATAGGCATTCTGAATACCAATGAACGTAGGAATTAATTTTGCTGTGACTCAGTGTATTAATATTGCTAAAATAGAGATAATAATAGGAAATACCTTCTAAGGTTTTGGGGAAGACTAAGTCAACCCTTAAAGAGTGGTTAGAGACTGTAAAGTCTCTAAAATGTCAGCTAGCATCATTTCTGAAATCACAGTGGTGACCCTCTTTGTCAGAGGCATTCTATAGCTCCAGTCTGATGTCTTGAGTTTTGACACAACTGGATGAAAGTTAGACCTCCACTTTCTCCTTTCTGGAAGCACATTATATACATACCTCCTGAGGCAGGACAGTGCAGGGAATAAGAGGGATTCACATGTTCTTGGTTAAAAGCCTGGCTCCAACATTTATAAGGGTATATGCTTTTAGGTGAGTTTTTCAGTCTCTTTATGCCTCAGTTTCTTTATGGGTTAAGTAGGGTATTATGCTAGTATATGACTCATGTTGTTGCCATGAGAATTAAAATATATATTAGGATGTTTTTAGCTTCTGGTTCAGGGATCTGGATCCAATAGACTTATACCATGAATATATTGTTTTCTGAAAAGTAGTTGAATGTTTGTTTTTATTAGGATGTTTTTAGCTTCTGGTTCAGGGATCTGGATCCAATAGACTTATACCAAGAATATATTGTTTTCTGAAAAGTAGTTGAATGTTTGTTTCATGCCTGCTGTAACTGGAGCTCAGTTCTAGCCCCCTCGCTTCCTCTTTTTTTTTGTTCTGCTGTGTCTGTCTGATGTGTCTCTGTATTAGTCATTCAGTCGTGTCTGAATCTTTGCGACCCCATGAACTGTAGCCCACGAGGCTCCTCTGTCCAAGTGATTCTCCAGGCAAGAATACTGGAGTGGGTTGCTATGACCTCCTCCACGGGATCTTCTTGACTCAGGGATCCAACCCTGCATTGCAGGCAGATTTGTTACCATCTGAGTCACCAGGGAATCCCTTTGATATGTATGGGCTTTAACCACACACTGGTTTCCTCTCATATCCCCAAATGCTCTTAGTGTCACCCAAGCAGCATAGATTCTCATTCATGTCCTCTAGAGAAGAGAGACAAGCCTCTCTTGTTTTCCTCTGACAGCAAAGCACTTTATTGCTGGAAGCTTCCAAATGTGACCTCCTCCTTATTATTGGTTCAAATTAGCTGAGGCCTTTGCATTGTCAAACCAATTACTGAGAAGTATGCAAAGGGAATACAGGCTTCCCTTGCTTTCTGAAAGTAGAGTGTTCTATGAAGCCTTTCATAAGCTGAAATGGTGTAAAGCGAACAAGCAATTACTTTAGGACACATCTTGCTAATGGAGGCACAGAATAAATCGAGCACAGATGCTCACAGATGTAGTTCAAAGTTATGGCAGGTTGATGCTGAGATGCTGGGTGTAGTTCCAGGGAAGGGGTTTGGTGGTACCACTCTGTCTGCTAGAGTTGCCCCCTGCCTCTATAATGGCTCACTGCAAACCAAAGCTGAATGCTATTTTCACTTTCTGTTTTTCTTTTTTTCATAAAAGTGAAAATTCTATTTGGATTTCTATCAGTTAATGAAAGCAAGCACTTATGTAGTTCTTTTGCAAAAATGAAATGGTGGACTTTCAAAAAAATAGAGGATTGAAATAGATATTTCAATCAATTTAGGCTACTCATCTGGGCAGGAGTCTATATCCACTACAAGTAAGGGACCACTTAGGACTGGAATTGGAGTATCTAAAGATGTGATGAGTATTAAACAACATTATTATTTTTTAATTAATATATTTATTGGTAAATTAATTGATAATGTATTAAAAGCATGAAGCATAGAGCTTGGGAATACTAAGTACTTAAAGAATGGAAACTACTACCATATAATAAGCCCCCATTCCTAATCAGTGTACCCACCCACTCTACCTGGACCAGCATATTCACTACTGTTTTCCACCATGTCTCTTCATACCTGCTATGTCTGATACCTGGAATCCAACCCTGCAGAGCTTACCACATCACACAGCCTGTGGCATCCATCTTCAAAATCATCTTTATGATTCTTTTTCTGACTTCCTCAAGTGGAAAGGAGTCTCTTTTTTCTATGGATTCTGATAGCACTTTCTCTAATATATACTTTTCAAATGATGGCACAAAGTTAATAATATAAATTGATAGTCTCAGTTTTCTAAGAATTCATAAAGTGCTGGAAGTTAGAGTTTGTACATGTTCTTCCAAAGTTCCTGACCTGACGCAAGGCAGTTAATAGCTACTCACTGAACAATAGCTGGCTGATTGCTATAAATGACCAAGTGGCCTATGGAAAGAGAAGCCTTTTACCTTGAATCACTTTTTAAAGAATGAAAGGACAGCAACACAAAAACAAATGCACAACAAGAGAGGATTTTCAGTGGTTTTTTTTTTCCCTCACAAAAAGAACTTTGGCATTGTCAGCTCCTCATCAAAGGATTATTTTTGCTCTTAAGAAAATCTATGAACAGAGAAAAAGTTAAGTTTAGACAGTCAACAAAAAATCATTGCAAATTAAAACAAAATGTTTTCACAAATGCCCCAAAACTAGTGTGAATGTTTTCTCTGTCTACATCCATGCAATATAAGAAATGTTTCTATCCTCTTAGAAAAGCAGACATGCTCACTCCACATTTATTTTGTCCTCTGGAACCCTCAATCCTTCCCACTCCCAATGTCCATGGGTTCATAGACTGCAGGTCAAGGGCAGCGGCAAAGGGTGAGTTGAAGTTATGGTGACCACAGAGGACAGGTCACTTTCCATGGACCCTTGACAGACACAAGCTGGGTAGGGCCTGTCTGGTAACCTTCTCCTGGTGACTTGCTAGCACCTATGAACTAAAATCCAAACTTTGACATGCCATTTAATTGGGCTCCATTTGATTACTCCTTACTTCCTGTTGCCTTTTCCACTGCATTTAAACTCTCCTTTTGTTTCTTCACCAAGTATTGCTTCTTTTCTCTGCTTAAGTTTTTCTTTCTAGATCCCTCTGGCTAGAGCGCTTCTAGCCCACCCCTCCATCCACAAGACCCAGTCAGTCATTCCTTCTCTCACAAATCTTTCTTTTCTTCCTCTTCTTGACACTCAACTCAGCTGACCCCTTTTCATCTCGATTTTTGGAGAACATCATTCATTCAGCACTTGGTAATATAAACTGGTGTGGTTTTCCCTATGATTTCATGTGTGTTTGTCATCTCTCATCATTTTTATGGGAATGAATTTGGGCTGTGATATTCTGGCTCCCTTTTAACTCTTTCCACAGTATTCAGCACCTCTTCCTCTTCAATCCAAACTCTAGCACAGAGAATTTGACATTAATACTCATGCGTGTTTGGTGAATTTCAAGTTATTGCAGTGAATTACAATCCACTCTGGCCATATCTGAGCACAATGTTCTTTTGCAGTTTTTCTCTTTGGTTTGGTGTCGGGTTATGACAGCCAGGAATCCCTCTACTCTTTGTTTGGTACCACACTGGAGACAAAAAGAATAGTCTCTCTTTAACTGAGAAGCAATAAAGCTGCTCATATCAAGGGGTAGCATTAGAGGGAGAGGGGTGGGGAGTTTAGAAACCAGTGCTTGAATAGTCCATCCTCTTCCCAGCCTTCTGGGTAATGAATTCCAGTGGTCATGGACCATTCCTAGCTCTTTATAAAATAGATCTCCCACATGACAGCAGCTCTGCTTGGTTCTGCTTAAGTCAGGTCATGGAGAGATACAGGGGAACCATGTAAAACTGATTATTAGGTGAAGAGCATTGCTTATATATATTTACATTTTATAAATAGCTGCTAATGAGCTATGTAATTTATAGTTCATATAAATATATAATAACACAAACTAGTGTTACTAGAAAACTTTGATTTATATGTACATATTAAAAATTATTCAGAAAATAATAACAAGTTATAAAGGTAGCAATAAATCCTCTCAAATATCATCACACTTCCTTGGTCCTCTTCATAACATAACTAAAGTCTTTCCAGCTGATACCAGTGGTAAAGAACCCGCCTGCCAATGCAGGAGACGAAAGAGATGTGGGTTAGATCCCTGGGTCAGGAAGATCCCCTGGAGAAGACCACGGCAACCCACTCCAGTATTCTTGCCTGGAAAATCCCACAGACAGACAGAGCCTGGCAGACCAGGTCCATAGGGTCACAGAGAGTCGAACATGACTGTGGTTCTTGAGTTTGTCACAATAGGGTGGATTACTGACATGGTTAGCGGATTTGGGGTGAGGGAAAAGATGAAGTTCAATTGCAGTGACTGAAGATATATTGAGAAGTGAGGAATCTGTTAACAATGGATATAGAAAAGATGAGTAGTTTTACTTTAAGGAGAACAGAAAAATGAGGCAATTTCCAAACTGTCATGGGTTCAAGGTAGCACCAGTCATCTAACATAGCAGTCAATCAGCATGAGTTTACATAATTGCACCTCAGTGGTGGCTTTGACAGCTGAAAATTCCTGCCTGAAAAGCTTCTAATTTATTCGTGAAACATAATGCAATATCATAAGATAAGAACGGATGGTGATTGGAGGTAGTAAGGTGAAAAAATAAAATCTCTCTCTAAACAGTAGAATTAGGAATAATGGGGGGAAAAAATCATAGCAAGAGTAAACTGGGTTTAGTGTTAGGACAAAATAATAGCCTAAAAACGATGCTCTTGTTTAGTGCCTGTGTGATCTTGGACAAGTCACTAGAGCTCTCACATCTCTGGTCCCTCACCTTGCACACGATGTACCAATATGGCGGTTGCACGGCTTAAGCCATCATATCCAAGCACATAGCATAGTGCGGGTTCACAGCAAGTTCTCCCAGTGTTGGCCTTTCCTCCCTGGAACAGGTGGATGTCATCTCAGCTAAGGCTGAGCTGTAAACTCTCAGGTGTGCTGATAAAAGACCTCAAAGGATAGAACAGGTAGTTAAAATGAGTGCTCATAAATTCTGACATTCTACTGTTCTGAGCCCTCAGCAAAGTGTCATCATTTCTGTGATAAAATGACCCAAGCTAATGTTTCAAAGTAAACCTTGGAACTGCTTTTTGTAGGGAGAGGGCATTCTGCTGCTTATACGTGTTTTAGAAATTTGTAGATAAAGTAAAAGATTGAGCCAAAGATAACAAACTTACATTACTGAATAAATACACACTCAGAAGAAGTTATTTAAATAACAAGTCAAATCTTTACATGATCAGAGACTGCTTTCTCAAAAGTTGAGTTTTGCAGAAAGAAAAAATATAGCAAAGTGGTCATTATTAAAAAAAAAATAGGAACTTGTTGCTAAATACATTTTTCAACTATGTTTTTTAAACCAAATATACATGTAGGCACAGCCTATATTTTTAAGTACAGAAAGAACTATTACAAAAAGGCATTAACCTGACTCTTTCATGTCCACAGAGGAAAGAAATAATGACAATAAATGACCTGTTAAAAGTTGTTCTGGTTAAATGCAACATGTTCATGGAGAGTAGTCTCTTAACTGATCTGGAGTGCTATAAAAATGGGACATGCATTCTGGTGGGTATCTTGCCTGGAAGTGGGTTGCTAAAAGAGTTTTTCCTAAATTCCCTTATAAAGTCTGGATAGAGAAACCCATTTTATCTCCCTACCACTGGCAGGGCACCCAATTGAGAGAAAATTTCAAATAGGAAGTATTCATCAATTTATTAGGAAAATTTAGATGACAGTCCACCCAGGATGATTATTTGGTTTCATGAAGCCAAAGTATCAAACTGATTGACTGAAATGTACGTTTTCTTCCTCATCTATTTATATTTTTCTGGTTATAGATATATTCCCTTTATTTGGAAGAATACATATCACATGTACAAATTCAAACAACTTTTAGAACTTGCTTTTATTTTTCCATTTTATTCTCTTCCAATTTTCCTAGTTTTTTTAATGTTTATCACAGAGGCATTGAATATTTGTTATACATCACTAGTAAAAACTCATCCTTTTTCAGTTCAGTTCATTCGCTCAGTCGTGTATAACTTTTTGTGACTCAGTGAACTGCAGCATGGCAGGCCTCCGTGTCCATCACCAACTCCCGGAGTTTACCCAAACTCATGTCCATCAAGTCGGTGATGTTATCCAACCATCGCACCCTCTGTCGTCCCCTTCTCCTGTCTTCAATCTTTCCCAGCGAGAGGGTCTTTTCTAATGAGTCAGTTCTTCGCATCAGGTGGCCAAAATATTGGAGCTTCAGCATCAGCCCTTTCAGTGAATATTCAGGACTGATTTCCTTTAGTATTGACTGGTTTGATCTCCTTGCAGTCCAGGGCACTCTCGAGTCTTCTCCAACACAATAGTTCAAAATCATCATTTCTTTGGTGCTCAGCTTTCTTTATGGTCCAACTCTCACAACCATATAGGACTACAGGAAAAAACAGTTTTGACTAGGCAGAACTTTGTTGGCAAAGTAATATCTCTGTTTTTTAATATGCTGTCTAGATTGGTCATAGCTTTTCTTCCAAGCAGCAATTTTTTTTTTTTTTTTTTAAGTTCATGGCTACAGTCACCATATGAGTGGTTTTGGAGCCCAAGAAAATAAAATCTGTCACTGTTTCCATTGTTTCCAGGATATTTGCCATGAAGGGATGGGACTGGATGCCATGATCTTCATTTTTTGAATGTTGAGTTTTAAGCCAGCTTTTCACTTTCATCAAGAGGCTCTTTGTTTCCTCTTCATTTTCTGCCATAAGGGTGGTCTCATCTGCATATCTGAGGTTATTGATATTTCTCACTGCAATTGTGATTCCAGCTTGTGCTTCATCCGGCCTGGCATTTTGCATGATGTATTCTGCATACAAATTAAATAAGCAGGGTGACAATATGCATCCTTGACATACTCCTGCCCCAGTCTGGAACCAGTCCATTGTTCCCTGTCTTGTTCTAACTGTTGCTTCTTGACCTGCATACATATTTCTCAGGAGACAGGTACGGTGGTCTGGTAATCCCATCACCTTAAGAATTTTCCATAGTTTCTTGTGATCCACACAGTCAAAGGCTTTAGCCTAGTCAATGAGCAAAAGTAGATGTTTTTCTGGAATTCTTGTGCTTTTTCTAAGATCCAATGATGTTAACAATTTGATCTGCCTTTTCTAAATCCTAGAACTAAGGATTCTAACATCTGGAAGTTCTTGATTCATATACTGTTAAAGCCTGACCTGGAAAATTTTAAGCATCATTTTCCTAGCGTGTGAGATGAGTGCAATTGTGTGGAAGTTTGAACATTCTTTGCCATTGCCTTTCTTGGGATTGGAATGAAAACTGACCTTTTCCAGTCCTGTGGCCACTGCTGGGTTTTCCAAATTTGCTGGCATATTGAGTGCAACACTTTCACAGCATCATCTTTTAGGATTTGAAATAGCTCAGCTGGAATCCTGTCACCTCCTCTAGCTTTGTTCATAGTGATGCTTCCTAAGGCCCACTTGACTTTGCATTCCAGGATGTCTGTCTCTAGGTGAATGATCACGCCATCATGGTTATCTGGGTCATTAATATCGTTTTTCTGTAGTTCTTCAGTGCATTCTTGAATGGGAGTGACTAGAGATCTCTTCCAGAAAATTAGAGACACAAATAAAACATTTCATGCAAAGATGGGTACAATAGAGGACAGAAATGGTATGGACCTAACAGAAGCATATACTAAGAAGATATTAAGAAGAGGCAACAAGAATACACAGAGGAACTATACAAAAAAATTATCTTAAAGGACATTCAATAGCATTAAATAAATACAAAGATTCATATACATCTTACACAGGTATGTTAAGGAGTCTACAATTTCATTGAAAAGACAATATGTATTTATGAAATATTTAAGAAATAGAACATTTACACTGAATCAATGTTGCCATCCAGGATGTGAGTATGAATAAGGCAATAAGATCCTAACAGACATCCTAAAAGTCTTGGTTTTAATAAGTTGGTGAAACTGGAAGCCAGGAACCAGAGCTGTGAAGGAGGATATGATTCCATCACTGATTGCACTGGGCCTTCAGGTGGGTCATTTAACCTTGCCTGTCTTCAGATTTCCTATCACCAAAAAGGAAATTAAAACTGGAGTTCATTCACTTGGGTGGCAACCTAAAAGACAGAGAACATCTTATCATCCTATTGATAATTGTAGACTCACAGAATTTTTGTGTTGGATGGGTTTTTAGCCACCACCAAATTAATCCCCTCGTTTTACAGATATTGGTGCTGGGACTCAGCAAGGTGAAGTACCTCACTCAAGGTCAAGCCAGCTGGCCAAGCCTTTTAGCCTAAAAGTCCATCATGATATAACACAGGCCTATACCACTGAAAAGTATCCTTTTCTTTTTTCCTCTGTGTGCCCATAAAAACATCTGTGTTCAGTTAAAAACTATTTGAGAGCATAGGAGATATTGCACCTTGAGATATATGGCAATTATGTACTAATGACCAATTCACAAATACTGTAACTCTTAATGTCAGGCTTAATATTTGTCTAAAGATGGAAGATCAGAGTTATAACTGCATTTCTATTATCCTTATTTGGGGAGGAATAGGAAATTCTTTACTTAGCAAATTATGTTTGAGGCTATTTGGGAAGGTGAATATATCCTGACTTCTGATTGATTCTTCTAGGACCAGTCTACCTCCTGTGGAAATTGTCCCTCTTAAAAAGGCAGAAGAGGTTATAATAGCTTCAAACCAAAACCAAACCAAAGAGATCATATATTATTTTCACCAGTCCAAGAAATCCATACAGTAATAGTAAGACAAATTAGAGGAAGTTTTCATTGGATTTCTTTTGGTCACATCCTGACATTTATTCAGCCTCATGCAAATTTTCCTCAGGACTTGAACAGGTGCAAATGGGTGTGTTCTTACAGCAGGCATTTTTAGTTACATTTTGAAAAGCCAGCACAAATCATTTGGCCTTACGTCCCAAAGATGTTTCCCTTCTATTTCCTGTAGAAGAAAGAAGATATCACCAACTTCTTTTCAGCAATGCTTTAAGGGAGATGGAAATCTCTGTTGCTCTGTGAGCTCCGGGCATTGTGTTTGGTGGTTTACAAAGGCATTTCCTATAATGTATGGAATGAACTGTTTCAAGTTTTTTTTTTCCTTGCTGCTATAATTTTTATATCTCATTTTACCTCTGTAATTAAGACAGGTCTGGTAGGTATTTAAATTAGCCCAGCTTTCATCTCTATCACACATTCATTTCAAAACTTTTATGAATATTTAATAGAGGTTTTATAATTCATGGTGATATGATGAACAGCCTTTTGGCCGTTAAGTCAATTGACAGAAAAAAAAAAAATCTCTCTCTTCAGGCAGAAATAATAACGATTCTATTTCTGTTCCTAGATTGGTGATTACACAGTCACCTGTTTTCACATTAAACTTTGATGATAAATTACTCAGCAACCATGATAATATCAGAAGTTTTACTGGCCAGAACAAATTGTCAGTAATTGCTCACAAGATAAAGAGAAAGCACTTCCTCTCTTTCCCCCTGTCCTTCCCCCGGGGGTTGTGGCTATGACCCTACAGTCCAACTGACTCCAATTTCTTTCGTTTGTTCTTTTCTTTTTATTTTGTTTCCTTTCAAACCTCGATCTGTCCGCCTAGTAAGAATATATTAATATTCCATTAGCATGGCTGTCGATTTGGCACGCACACACAGAATATAGGCTGCATAAAACAGTTAACTTTGAGATGAATTGCAGTTCAAACAGGTTCATTTTCTACCCAACTCCCCACAGGACATACATGCACATTTTAAAAAATATTTGGGGGAATGCCTCTAGATTAAAGAATGCGTCAATTGATGCTGTTTCCAAAGCAACCTAGAGGTTTTATTTCGTTTAAACATATCAAAGGTTTAGGAAAAGAGTCTGATGATAATACCTAAATATGCATCAGAGAATTATAAAATCTAACCTTAGCATCAGATCCAGGTAGCTTGGGCATTCTGCCTTCCGTATTCATATCAGCACCAAACTGGAACCATTAATGATAAGTGGAGAATCGCATTTCATCCTCCAGTCCCTTTGAGTCTCCGGTGGCTGGGAAGGAGCCCTCACTAGATCATTCTGGAGAACTGGCCCATCCTCTAGGCACTAATGTCTCCTGTAACGGGGTCACAGACTCTATTGTCTCCCTGGGGAGGTAATTCTGCTGCCTAATAGCTTCTACTCCAACAAACTTTTTCCCTAATATGCAGACAACTCCTCTCTGCTCATTTCCTTCTCAGTGCCCCTTTTACTAGCCTGCAAATTCCTCTTTGGGGGTTTACAACCCTGAGGCAGAGGCTGTGATACCATAGCTCTTTGGCAGCAGCTTCATGAAACTACACACCCTACATCCATTTAATCCCACTTCATATGTTAAGGCTTTTATCTCCTTGAGCATTTTTGTGGCTCTGTACTTTATCCACACAGTATAAATGCATTATTTGTATAAATGATGAATTTGACTCTCTGCAACATGTCAATGACTACATGATAGTAAATACTCAAACATTCCCCATATCCCCGGTTTGCGCACACACTGCAAACACACACTGGACCTTAATGTATTCAATGCCCAAGGTTATTAACTCTAAAGAAATCCAAATAACTTTTGTTTTACATAAGGAGAATTGCAGAGAAATCTGGATTGCCCAGCCCCAGCCCCAGTTCTTTCAAACTTTTTATCTTGGTGAGATTTTGGAAATCTGTCATTGGATGAGAGAGAATAGCACACTACATAACAGATCTATATCCTAGTTATTACCAATGCAAATTTGCTTCCATAAAAAGGCATTAAACACTAGCATGCTCAGGTCCAGTGTATTCAGAGCCCCATGCAGGAAATAAAATATTCTGTGACTATTCCCCTTCATTTGGACAGAGGTCTCACAAAGGGATGGGAAGAGTCAAATGTTATTTGAATTTCAGATGAAGTCATTTTGGAAATTATACCCTTTAGCTCGGTTGAAGAGAAAGGGTAGAATTCACTATCAACATTTCTATACATTCCAAGCCCTCTCTCTTCAAAGGAAACCTTAGAACTGAGCTACCAAAGTGGCATCATGCGAGCAGGATCCCATAAACATCAACTGCCTCTGTTGTATAGCTTTTGATGTGTGAACAGAGTGTCATTGTGATGCTGGAAGAAGCCCAGCTCCGTCCTTCTTTATTATGGGCTGCAGGGCCTAATAGGCATAAAATAACTGCCAACTGGGCCCACGTGCCTTTTAGTGCTTTTAGATGCTGAATAATTTAAGTAATTCTATTCCAGTGAGGTGGGTGAACTTAAAAAGCAAATGTTTACAGGATGGTGGTTGTGAATAGATGGCTACTGTGGCACATACTTGTGTATACAAACATACACACACACACATGCACAGAGCCTTGCAGACAGACATAGAACTCAGGAAGGGAAAGAGTATCTTTGATATATGTGCAATTTGCATTTGGTAATTCAACCATTCCTTTTTACCTGTGAATCCTTTGCATTTGTGAATCCTGTACAAAATACACCCTTATGTATGTAAAATTGAAATGAAAGCCTCGTGATGACTTTTTAATTTCCATTTAATTTTATAGTTTTAATATATGGAAAAAAGTTAGTGTTGATAATAGTTTATCCTAAGTCATTTCAAGGAAACTTCTGGCCTAAGAGGAAAGTCCTTGGCTGTTTAGTGTTGTGATAACTGGCAGTTCTTGTAACGGAGTGAGTGCAATTTCTGTACTTCCAATTTGCCTTTCGGATCTACCTTTCTGAGATTATATTTATAGAGCTAAGTTTATTTATATCTCTATGTGAAAAGGTATACAGATTCACAGATGCAATGCATCCTAGTCCATCCCTCTATTATGTTTAACCCAGACTAGAGATTGGACACAATACACTCTGCTTTGCTTAGCACCAGGGTGGTAGACCAGATGAACTTAGGGAATCCTGGCAGACACTAAAGCTTTATGGAGATACAACTGTGAATGCACTGGTAAACATTTATATTGGATGCTTCATACATGTAAATATCTGAATATATATCTTTCCTTTGACCAACCCAGGAAATGACCACAGTTGAATATAAATTACAGGTTACTAGAAAGTCTGTGGCATGTTGAATTCACCATATATTTCAGTCACCCATAATAATTTTATTTTACATACCCTACTTACCCCACCCTGTATTGTTCCATGCTTCGGAGACTAAGAATTAGGAAGAGAAGTAGAATAGCATGAGCAAAGCTCCCAGATTTAGATTTAGAAAGAAGTTGAGTGGAAAGGATACTTAATAAGACCATATGATCTGGACAATTTGTTAGGCTGAGGATTTTACACATATACATGTTTGATCTTTATAGCAACCATATGGAACAGACTGCACTGTCCACACTACAGAAAAGAGTACTGAAGCTCTGAGTAGCTTACCAAGGCCTCCCAGCAATTAGTGTCCTAAATCAAGATTTTCAGTCCACCCCTGACCACACAGTCTCAGATACTGTACTCATGTTATCTTCTGTGAGTGATGGAACCTCAGAGTTTGCACTGGATTCTAAATTCAGACTCTGTGGGTCGCCAACATTAACAGCTGGAGGAAAGAACTGAGTCATTATTCAGATGTACAGTTGCTTTATATAGATGCAGAATACACTGGGTCTATGGCAGCGTTTAAAGGGCTCTGGGGAGGACCCCTACTATTCCCCCAACGAACTCCACCACCTGCTTGTTAGCGCCTGCATTCCTTAACAGGGAGCAACACCTTCTATCTCACAGAATTGAAAAGGCTTAAAATAAAACCTCTCAGAATATTGTAGTACACAGTCTGTAATACATACCTCAATTAGATGATATCCCTTCCTGGGAGTACCTTTGAGCAGAGAATAACAAATGTAGGAAAAATGTGGACTGGCTGGAAGTCTCCCCTGAAAGAAATGACTGGAGTATTCTAAGTTTATTTATATACAAAACATATAATTTTTTAGGCTAGACATGTTCTGAGTATTTGATGATTGAATATGGACATCTATGTGCCATATGATGTCAGTAGGTCAGGATCTTCCTTTGCCCCAGGTCCCGTCCAGAACATGGAGACAGACGTTTCTGTATACTACGGGGATTCATTGACTTCACTGGAAATGCTTCATGTTTATGTGTTGCATGGAAAAAACTTTCATAACCATTTCTCTGAGAGAAAACTTCGAAGGAGAAAATAAAAACTTCAGAAAAATAAAGATAAATTGCTATTTTTCCTCTTGTATATAGCAGTGACTATCTGATGCAGATTTAAAAAACATATGCAACTATTAAGGAAATATGCCAACATATTCTTCAAAATGAGCCTTGGAAACAAAGGAAAATAACCAGTTTCAGCATAGCAAGAACACATGAGATCGTACTGATAAGCCACTCCCTACTGAGGGAATAACTACATTTCCATTTCTTAGAGCAAAAAGGAATCTGAGCAGACCCAATAAAAGCAAAAGGCCTTAACTAAATTGGAGGGATCATGGTCAGATAGCAGAAAGAGCTTATTGATGGAAAGGGATCAAATATTGACCTAGAGAGGTGAGTAATCCATTGCCTAAAGATATTCTGAAACAAAAATGTCTGTTCAATTCCCTAATTGCACAAGGAAATGATTCTTTTCTTCCTCAGAGACGTATAAAAGAAAAAAAGTCTTAAATTAATTAAACATTTTGCTTCATCCATTTAGCATATAATCAGTGTGATTTTCCTAATGTGGTACTAGTTATTTTACAACAATATGCACTGGTATTTTTAGATTATCTCTTAGTACCACATATTTTCCATACATTAGTGATCATAACATAGAAAGTCACTATTGCCAACCATATGGTTAATAAATAACATTGCAGAATATTTGCTAATCACAAAGTTCAGCTACTTCCTCAACATTCAATTGCTTTAAAATATCAAGGTTTACATTTTCAACTTATATTTCCTCAAATAGAATATTAAGTCCTGGAAGGTGGAGGCTATGCCTTTCTTGCACCTGAATGTCTTCTGCATCTGATCATCCAATGGATCACTTTGACTCTTTTCCCTCCTTAACATGGGTTGAATGCAACGCCTTATTATCCTCAATATCACTATCTTCATACAGACCACATTGCCTTATCTTTCATGTAGAGTGCTAAAAGGATGAGCTAATTATGTTTTTGTTTTTTCCTTTGATCTTGCTCCTCTTTAATTTTTTTTCCTCAAATCTATGCAACATTCAGTTTTGATGACCCCTTTAAGAAGCCCTCTCTTTGTCTCCTAAGCCTCTTTTTTGAGAATATGTTTATCCTTTATAGAGCACTTGAAACACAGTGTTGTCTGTTACATTTACTTATCTTTTGCCTGACAAGGCTATGAGCTTTGTAAAGACAACTTTTGAGCTATTCATAAAACATTTTTCACCAGTTCTTCAAGTTCTCAATGAATATGTATTGAATAAAAAATCCATGGTAAGGATCTGGGTTCCAAATCAGAGCTTAATAAGTGCTTACTATCTAAATTCATGTATTTATTAAACTTTGTAGGATCTAATTTATATTAATTAGACTTAGTCAAAAGAGTGTTTCCTCCCTTTGAGACAATAAATATCATGTCAAACATCAAATCAGAAGTGCTAGTTCAACAGACAGAGAAGAGAATGAAGAGACTGCTATTTTATGAACAAGAGAAAAGAATATTCAGTGTCCACCACTTAATTCTCCTCTGTTGTTTTTCTCAAGGGTGTATATATAAAACTGCTTTTCTTGTAACAATACAGAATTTTTGGCTAGGAACCATTAACACATGTATTAAGTCCTTGTGACAACTGATTAATTTTAGTTTAAGGTTAAGAATACAAAACAATGACTGTTGTTATGTAACATGCATTTTAATGATGTCACAGCAAAAATAAAGGATGAGAAAGATAATTCAATTTGCTTTCTCTAAAAGGTCAGTTCTCTTGAGATAAAAATTGTCCCTTAGGGTATCAATGCCTTTCTTAGCATACTTCCCCTTCTGCTGCCTCTCTGCTTCCTCCTGTTCCTCAGGGATGTAAGTATTTATATTTAAGGACAACCAGGCTATGTTGGTTTGCAAGGCAAGCGGGTTGGTGGAATGGAACAGAGGGACACCCCACGCTTTTAAAATGAAACTTTATGTGGTTTTTCCTTTGATTTTATCATTATTCCTGTACACTTTAATTTACTTTCAGTGCATTTAAGAAAAGAAAGGAAAATGGAGTATTACACTCCTGGTCTTTGTGCATATAAATACTGCATGAAGAGGTGAAGGTTTTGGTGAAAAAGCTTATACATCATTTGGTAAAAATTTATCCCAAGTGTTTTTAAGCCAGATCTCGTCTTTCTGCAGGATTGAATCTTTCATAACAACAGGCCCCAGAACAGGGTCTTCACAGACTTGGAAGTCAATATGGATTTGTGGAATCAATGGATTAGTATCTGACTCTAGATATGTTGGAAAACATTCAGTGCATGCCCCTTATGGCCCACCCAGTGGGATTCAGTAGGTTTTATGAACAAGAAAATAGATATTTAGGACACAGTTGTTTACAAGTTGAGCAGAAATTTCTTTAAAAATAAATATTTAGCTTTAAGTTTCAAAGAATAATACTGAAGGGGAATCTAAGTGAGCTATAATCAACCAGGTTATGAAAAAGTTTTTGAGTATGTTGTAATTGTGTATAAAGAGCAGAAAAAATATATAACCCTTGATATTAACAGTAGCATAAATCTGTGCTTTAAATATAAACCAATGAATGACTAAAAGGTAAATGAAGCATCAAAAGGAAAGGAGGATGCAATAATCTGATTTCATTAAAGACAATTTCTCAGAGAAAGAGATTTTTGTTAATGGGGAATGAGTGTTTGAGTAGACTGGAAGGCTTCCAGAAAAGGGTCTTAAAGGAGGAAAAAAATCATAAAGAAAAGTAAAGATATTCTAGAGAGAAAGTTTGATTTGAAGAAGTTGAGAAAGAGATAAGAGAAAGTGCAGTAGAAATTGATAAACTGTGTGGAGACATTTGTATTCACACATCCTTTGTGTGGAGATGCTCATATTTATAATCATGGGCCCTTACCATGATTACCTTCATATTAAATCAAATTGTAAGTTGGGAAGAGGCTACTATTCTGAGGTCTTGCAGACATAAGGGTCCACTTATGACTGAAAAAGAGGCACCACTGTCCTCAAGTGCCTTAGTGTGTGTTAGTTGTCCAGTCATGTCTGACTCTTTGTGACCCCATGGGGTGTAGCTGGCCAGTCTCTTCTGTCCATGGAATTCTCCAGGCAAGAATACTGGAGTAGGTTGCCATTCCCTTCTCCAGGCAATCTTCATGACCCAGGGATTTAAACTGGGTATCCTATGTTGCAGGCAGATTCTTTACTATCTGAGTCACCAAGGAAGACCCAAGTGCCTCAGATTAAATCAAACTAAGAACAGTCAAGTCAGCAGCCCTGGGCTTGGGTTACTTTGAGTTACTCCCTAACTGTGTGCAGTGCAAGAAACTTTTTAACCATTCCAGACTTGACATTCCTCATCTGAAAAGTAGAGATAATCAAGTGATGCTGACATGTGAGAAATCACTCTTTTAACTAGGATGTGCTTCCCAAATATAAACCATCTCCTCCTCTTTGAAAAACTGGTTGGAAAATCTGGTCAGGGAAGGCTTATTGGTAGAAATCAGAGTGAAAGTAGACCTAAAAATATTATGGCCTCAAGTTCATGCTTATGAATATTGGAAAATGATATTATTTCTGTCACTGTATCAGTGATTGCTTTCAGAAAAATCTATTCATTAGAGATAAAGTATTAAAGCACAGAAGAGCAAAGCTGGTAACTTTCCATGACAATAGAATCCAGATCTTGGTAAATAAAAAAGTGTACTTACTGAGTTGAGCTACAACTTACCTACAGTAAAATCCACTCCCTTTAGTGCATTTTTTTTTATCAAGTTTTACTTGTTTTAAATGCAGGTATAAGGTAAGACGTCTGTGCTGATGCAGCTATCTTTGTTTGCTCATCCCCATTGTGACCACAGGGACATAAATTGTAAGAAGTTCAGGCAGGAAAGGAGGAAAATTTATGATATCTACATAGAACAAAATGACAGATACACATCTGGCTCACTGTCCCACATGAAGGAATGACAGTAGAAATGGAGATGAAGATAGACAATGAAGAAGGTGGCTCATAGGTTCCAATTTTAATATCCTCAGTTAAGGATGACCATAGCTGTATAGTTAGTAGACAGAAGACCTAGAGAAATAACCTCAGATGAAGAGGAGAAGAGAGGAGAAAAATAAGTAGAAGATTGAACTTTCTAGGCAGAATTAGAGGTTTCCTCAAAACTGTTTACAAAGCAAATTTCTGGAGAGTATACCATATTGGCCCTCAGTTACATGACTAAGCTGCTGATTTTATATCCATTTTAAAATATATTGAGTTGACTTTCCCTTCCACTGAGCTGCTAGTCCCATAAAAATGTACAAATCTGCTCAAAATGGCATCTGATGGAAAGTAAACTTTTAATAAACTGTTATTACCAATAATCAACTAAAGTCTCAAAAGATGAATTCAAGTTATTTTTTCCCCCATTTGCCATCATAAATTTTGTAGTGAAGGACATAATCATAGCTCAAGTGAACAGAGCATTTCTCAAATTCTCAGGCTTCTAGCAGTTCCAATTGTCAGTGGCCCCCATGGAGAAAGAGAACTGACCTTTGCTGTTTTCCTATAGTCCACTTGCTAGTCCTACATGGACACAAAAGAATTTTACAATTTAGCAGGATGATACAAACTGAGGAATAGAGAAGATCCGAAAATAGGAGAGAAAATAACAACTTCAAATATGTGCAACGATCAAGTAAGATAATATAACAATGATTAAACAACGCAGTCAGCATAAAATATAAAATCATTTGGGAATGAGCTTATTTTTTAAAATGTATGACCAAGAAGTTTTTTAAATATTGTTAGCTCTTTACATATAACACATCAAACTCATTTTTTTTTCTTTTTTTCAAACTACACAGGGAATATCATTCCCTGAAGACACACTGTTTGTAGAGAAAATTAAAGGCCACCGTTTTTGTTGCTTCCCAAGGTTCCAATCAAACTTAAAGAGCAAAATGGCCAAGTTAGCTCCCACAAATACATGACTGGCAATGGCCAGAGAAGTGAGGGCTTGGAGAGCATAGGTGAATGTTACCAGATAGCATTCAGTCATCCTCTTCTCAACTGGCTTCAAAAAAGGGGACACTTGAGGCAGAGAGGGATGAGGATGGCTGATGTAAATGGTGTATAGACACTGTTTATATAAAGTGTTAGTATAATAAGTCTCCATTAAGAACATCTGTTGGCAGGTGTTTACAAGAAATACACTTTTAAAAAATAGCTATTTAATTTTTGTTAATATATAATTGATTTGCAATGCTGCATTAGTTTCAGGTATAGAGCAAAATGATTCAGTGATTCAGGGATATATATACGCATACATATATATGTGTATCTATCTATCTATCTATATATATATATATAGAGAGAGAGAGAGAGTGTCTTGTTTTTATATTATCTTCCATTATACATTACTATAAGATATTGCGTATAATTCCCTGTGATTTACAGTAGGTCCTTGTTGGTTATCTATAGCAGTGTGTATATTTTATTTTATTTTATTTTATTTTTTCCAGTGTGTATATTTTAATTCCATGCTCCTAATTTATCCCCCCATTTCCTCTTTGGTAACCATAGCTTTATAAATAAATGTATCTTTGTTTGCATTTTGGGAAGCACTTTATTCCCTAAGAATAATGTATAAAATGTGAAAATGTACATCATCAACCTTCAGTTTGACATCATAATGTCAGAGTCATCAGCTCATAACTATTGATAGTGATGAGAGTTAGGCCATAGAAGGAAAATGAAATACTCTCATTCTCTTGCAAACTTTTTTTTTCTTTAAGTTGAAAATTAGAAGCGATTTCCTTTATATTGCCAGGCAGCTCTGTGGGAAGGGAAGGTGCTCATGTATAGTGTTTAAGCTATCTCCTCAAAGTAACCCCTTACCTATTTGCCATATGCTTAAATTTCTACACATTAGAGTCATTTTTTCCAACTCCATTTTAGACAGACAGGCTCAGAAAGAAATTCCGTGTGAGGATGAACATAAATCTCCTCAGCAGGATTTTTTTTATTCTACTTTTTTTCTTGTTGTTCTTCGGTGGTGGTGGTGGTTGTTAAGCCGCCTGCTGCTGGTGGAGGCGCCGCAGAAGTAGGTTTGGTCCCTTGGCTGGAAAGATCCCCTGGAGGAGGGTATGGCAACTCACTCCAGTATCTTGCCTGGAGAATCTCATGGACAGAGGAGCCTGGTGGGCTTAAGTCCATAGGTTCACAAAGAATCAGACAGGATTGAAGCCACTTAGCATGCACATGCTTTCCACATTTGTTGGATGTGGAAGAAATAAAAACTCATCTGACATATGAGAAACTTATTTTCAAAACAGTTTGGGTTGAATACAGACTAAAAAACTTCTAAAACAATTATTCTAGAGTTATTCACAGATTTAGGGTCTCTGTGTTACTCAGCTCTAGAGATTCTATGCAGTCTATTTGAAAGTGGCAGCGAAGTTGTTTAAGCTTGTGCAGCTGTACATGGCAGCACCATCTATATCTCAGTGAGCATAAATGAGACCTCTAGGCAGTTTTGAAAGAGAGTGATCTTAACTAGTGCAGATGGCTAGTTAAGTAGACTTCTTAAATAGCCAGTGAACACTGGGCGTATCAATAGGCTCTCTCCAACTTTTCATGATTTCACCCCGATTTTTAATAAATGTGGAAGTTTTCAAATCATCCTTCCAAGAATACAACTGGCATTCTGTCTGTGAGGACTGTGTATTTATTATTATCACTGACTTTCTCCAATGTTCTTGATCGATTTCTTCTCCTGAACACTATTGACCAGCAAAGCAGTGAATGAACATTTTAATCACAGATGCTTCATTTACATGTAATACTTGTAACTTATTTATCAATTCAATACACATTATTTTTTCACTTAAGGGTGAATGTTGCTCTTGAGATAGATCATAGGACTGAGAGTTCGGAGGACAAGGAAACTTGTCTCTGATTCACACGAGTAGTACCAGAGCTGTGACCATGCCCCACATTTGCTTGAACCTCATCTATTATGTTTTCCTTTCACCATCTCTTGGCCCTGACAAAACCATGCATTCCCTTCATCAGCCAAGTAGAAACAGTCATACAAACATTTTTTATTTGTTTATTCTTTTGTTACAATATTAAAGCAAATGCCAGACAAATTCACTTTTCCAGGAAAGAAGGAAGATAAGATCTATATTTTGCTTTTATTTAAGGTGGGCTCACTTCGTGAAACTTGGCCAGCGCGTGCATGGCATGATTCAGATAGCCCCCTTATCCTAATCAACCCAACCCAAAATGTGGCGGAGTTCTCCATGTATGTTTCCTCATCCCCATGGCTCATGTGACTGTGGTTTGCCTCACACACAAACTCACTGCAGACTTCCAGGAAGGCACCTCCTTCCAGCCAGTTAATCAGCACCCTGTTCCCCTGCTGCAGTCTGGCTAGACTAAGTAGACAGTGTCACTATTAAGCTGCAGAGGATCAGATGCTATGTCACACATGCGGTTTCAGAAGAGTGATTATAAGAGGGACAGCAGCCTCCCTGCCTGTGACACTGTGATGGCTGGCCTTGTGGACAAGCAGCCTGGAATCTCATTAGCCTATTTTCTGGCTGTAGTACTGCATGTTAAGCATCTGTCTTCTTTGATTGTAGTTCTTAGCTTGGGGCCTTTGGGGAGCATGCCTCTAGTCTAAATGCCTTGTTACAACTCTAGTTTTCAACAGGGAGGGGAGGACTTTTCAAACTTATTTGCTTGTCTGTCCAACTGGAACGTCACCAATCAGTTTCTCCGCATCTGTAGCCACTTTTATCATTGTCCAATACAATTTCCTTTCTATTTACATTCATCTAACAGATCACTGAGGATTTTATTTTTATCCTGGCCAGGATACTGTGTAGGTCTTTTTTTTTCTGGTTTATTTCACCATCGTTTGACATTCTGCTTCCTGTGTCAGGAATCTTATTTAAAATCAGGTTCCTGAGCATACGTAGCTTTGCTTTCCACTGATTTGATTTGCATAGGACCAGGTAATCTGAATCTCCAGTTTGCTAGTTAAAGAAGCC